AATTTATATAGCGGTGCTCGATGGCAGGCCGCTCGCTATCTACAAACACGTACACTACCCGGCCTGGGTACTAAGTTAACTACTAAAAGACGTCTGCCCCCCCAACCACGAGCCTTGTGGCTCAAACGCCTAAACTCCCACAAAGCCAGACCCACCTCGCAAAAACGGTGACGTGGGATAAGGGGAAGAGACCATCAAGGCCCCGCTAAACCCCAAAGCCGTCGGACGCTGTTCGGAGGCCACGCAGCGCAAATGAAGTAAGAGAGCACCACCCGGGAGGTGGCAGGGTGTCTTGAGGCCGACAAGCCAAAGATGTGCCTGCCCGAAACCAGACGCAGAAAGTTAGTGGCGCCGCAACCCGCTATAATAGCGGCCGCAAGCGCAAAAGAGTGAACCGGGCGCAGGTCTCCGGACCCTAGGGTCCGAGGGTGTCAATTCACCGATAAATCCTCCAAAAGGAGGAATAACCCCGCCCGAGGCGATTATCCGACCCCCGAAGGGTCCCGGGTGAAGCCAAACGCCGTAGGGTTGTACTTCATAAAAGCTGCAATATCCCCAAGGAAGCGGGGGTAATGCACTGAGTAACGATCGCGACAGCGAAAGAGAATATGCTGGCGGGACTGCAAGGCAGCCCCGCAAGTGCAGCCGTGAGGCTCATTGATCTTGAAGCGTCGGTAGTACGCTCCAATGGGTGCGTGGCCAGTTATACACCGGCAAACACGGGCGAACTCAGTGATACTGTGTCCGAAAGTTGAAAGCCAAGGTCCCCCATTGAGGTACGATGGCTGTAGCGGCCGCCCGTCAGGCTGTTGAAGCTCTAAGAATTCAGAGCCTCAGTAGGTTGGATCTTGGAAAGTGGAACTCCACGAATCCAAGACTGAGTGTGCAGCTCGAGAGCGTAGCGCGTCTATAGAGTTGTCCGTCTTACGATGGCCAACCCTGACTTTGAGTTCGGTGACGTACTTGTGTGCTTCACCATGGATATCCCACTGCAGAGCGGATGGGACGTAGACGAAGGTAATGCAGCGGAGATCATCCGCCTCAAACCACTCTTGAAGAACGCGACAAACTGACAGGCTAAAAGCCTGACCAGAATGCACGCCAGGGTCAACCGCTCTATGGGCCGAGCCCATAGAGTCAGTAAAGACCATGATATGCTGGCAGTTTGCCTGCTTGACAGCAAGGCGCACTGCACACGAGATGGCATTGAGTTCCGCATCTGGGGCGGTGACTCTGCCA